CTTTTCATCATTTTCTTGGGTCATCTTTTCTCTCTTTTTTTCGTTGAAAAAGCTCTTTTTGTGATGAATCATACCGAAGGGAAACTCTTTTCTCATCAAATTTCACCATCTTTTTCGATCAAAATCATTCTAATGAAATTTCATTGTAATGAAAGTGATTTTATGAAAAGTGATGAAAAGTCTTACTTTTTAAAGTCTTCTATATCAAAAACTAGAAACTTTGTAAGTTGGATCAAAGATTTTTGTGTTCTTTACAAGTAAAGAACTTTCTTACTTTATGTTTTATTAGACTTTGTTAGTTTTATTGTTGTTGTTATTGTTGTTAACTTAACTTATTGTTTAACTTATTGTTTTATTAGTTATCTTTTATTAGACTTTTAATAGATTCAAATGCTTTAAGTCCAGTTAGAAATAACAGAAATTGAGATTCAAGATTTTCTTACAGTTTCGCGCAATCTTATAAGCATTTATCTTCAGTTTATTTATCATTTATCTTTCAGCTTTTATCGCTATTTGACTTGTACTTCTCAAATTACCATGTTTAAAAGTTTAAAAGAACACAAATTTGTGTACCAACTTTAGTACTTTTCATGTTTCTTGTTCCTAAGCTTAGTACTCTTGGATTCTGGACTCCTCTGGAGTCTTGGATTCCTAGTTAATGATTTACAAGCGTCAGAGATATTTCAAACCATCAAAATTGCTAAAATAAGCTATAGACTGTGCTCTTATTGAAATCTTCTTAAACTTTCACTTTCAATTCATCAACAAGCACAGTTTCTTAGCTCAATGTAACAACCAGAACTAGAACTTTTCGTTTAAAGTTTACTTACTTACTTCTGTACTTAGATGGCTTACTTAGATGACTTTCAAAGCTCAAAAAACAAAAAGCATCAACCTAAGGAAAAGCCAAAATTTCCGGGAATTCACTGAGTAAGTCCTGTTTGACTTTTCGATTGTGTGACGAGCAACTCGAGAAATATTTGGGAGAAAAGAAAGAATGAAGAGAGGTTGTAACAACACATGAACCCTTTCCCAATTTCTCTTTTGGAATCCAAGAGGTGTGAGTGATTGAGCTTCTCCTTATCCCCTTCTTCTCTGAAATCGCCTTCCATCAAGCTTTTTGTTTCTTTTTTTTATCACTTCCGGTAGTCAAATCGCATTCTTTGGTTTATGAAGTGATTGCTTGAGGAGATTTTGGTACACATATTTTGCTAGCATTCTTCTATGAAGTTCTATGAGGCTCTATAAAGCTCTATGAGGCTCTATGAAGTTCTATGAAGCTCTATGAAGCTCTATGAGGCTCTATGAAGCTCTATGAAGTTCTTAAAGCTCTTAAAGTTCTTAAAGTTCTTAAACTTCTATAAAACTTTTACATAAGATTGGCTAGATAAATTTGATTACTTAGATTACTGATTACTCACTGGTCATCATCAAGGTGTAGCTCAAATATAAACGGAACTATTATTTTCAAAAGACTCCTCATTTCTGTGCCATTTTCCCATACCACATTCCACTCTAATAGGTGTGTCGTTGTAATTTGTCGTACTTTTTTTTACTCGTACTTTGTACTAGTTTACGAGAAGAGCTTCAAAGCAATCGAATGACTATTAATCGTTTAGTCTTTCTTTGAATTTTCACCAAGTTATCACTAAAACAGGAAACGACTACGTACTTTCGGCCTAAATTCCAAAATATCGTCGTCGCGAATGTGTTAAGTACGTTTCAAATCAATTTCAATTCTATCAATTGTATCAATTCTATCAATTCTGATTCTTGCAAGATGAAAGTAATAGTTCCGTTTATATTTGATCTACAAAAGACTCCTCATTTCTGTGCCATTTTCCCATACCACATTCCACTCTAATAGGTGTGTCGATGCGCACCAAGCCTCATCAACAAGCATTCCACTCTCGGGAGGAGTTCTCCCTCTTTTTTCCCTACGAAAAATTTTGTTCTCTCTATTTCCCTTGATCCCTTTGCTGTACATCCCTTTCCCCTTTTTTGCATTTTTATGAACGTTTCCCGTTCCTCCAATCGACTGATCCCTGTCAAATATGGACATGGGCAGACCAAAGAGACAAAACATTCAAATCATTGGGAAAAATTCATTTAAATGATCATGATTTAGATCATGATCAAAAAAATAGATTCACACAATGCACTGTTCACAAAATGAAATTGGATTTTCGGTTGAAAACAGAATTTAATAAGCATACAATTGAAAATAAGCATACAAAGAGACTTCGGAAAATTGTTGAGCTTAAACAACTTTAGTTTAAACAACAAAAACAGCTAGAATCATTCAGTTAGAATCATTTACAAGCTATCATTTACAGCTTAAATAGCTACAGTACTCTTACAGCACTTTAGCTATTTACTGCTGGTTTTGAAATCAGAAAATGCATTGCTGGCTTTAAACCAGGAATATTCCTTTCTTGCAGATTCTTGCGTCAGTAGCTATGCGTTTCTGTCATACGCACAAAGTACAGCTAGCAATCAAATACTTCTTTCTGTTTAACTGTAATGATTTTGGGTGTGTTCATGATGTGTGCCCACCACATGGAATGCTTTGATGGTAGTGATTGCGCGAGAGAAGGGAAAGCAGGGGTAGAGAAAGGGGAAGTGTTTGCCTGCCCTTTTCCTCTCTTCGATCTCTATCGATGTGGTCCCCTTGCGTTTCCTTGCAATCATTTCCTTTTCCTTTAGCCCATTCAGCTTCCCCATCTAAACGTCATCATTGCCTCACAGATGATCGAAGTTCTGGAGTTATTCAAGAGATTTCTCGAATGATCTACTTACTCTCAAATCCTGAAATTGTCTGTCTGTCTTTACTGACATTTTTTTCGGCCATATTTTGACTAATAAAGCTAAAACTCTTTTAGAAAACTTTAGAATATATTGTAGTTATGTCATTTAAACAAATTTAAAGATTAGAAGCCGGTGAGAGACCCGGGAGTCGAACCCGAGCCGTATGCGCTGTAGACAAGCGCGCTCTTGACTGCGCCACGGTGATAAGGAAACCGGGGGTTAGAAAACCCTCATTTTTCGAGCCTGTTCATAGAGAGTTTATTTCTTGATTCCTATTTCCCGTTCCCAATTGTTTAGCTTCAAAATACTGTATTGAAAGTACTATTGAAGTACTATTGAAGTACGGTGAAAGTACTGTGAAAGTTTTGAAGTATTTAGTACTATTTTGGAGTAAGTATTGTGAGAAATCTTGGCTCAATCTCAAATCTCAAACCCAAATTTACTTAATCTGAAATCTTTTCAACCTCTTGATCAAATCTAGGCTCATTCCAACCTGTTTTCTGTCTCCAAAAAACCAAAAACCCAAGCGGAACCAACTTTTCAGTTTAAGTCGAAAAACATCCTAGTGATATCCGTTTTTTGATTTCCTCTAATTCTCAAATCAAATAATTATCCGATCCCGTCCTGAACCGGACATGTGATCGGAACAAATGGAAAAGAGAAAAACGGGGCGAAATTAGATTGACACCCACATCATTTCATCTTTTGGATCCACTTATCGACTTCCCTTTCTTTCCTGAGTTTTCCTGAGTTTTCCCCATTTTGATCGGTTTCTCCTGAAATTTCTTATCTCGACAACTTCTTTTTTTTGTGCTTTTTCAGCAAGGAGCGTCACTCAAACACAATCGCTGAATAGGACTTGAATTCGCTTTTATTCTTGAATTGATCCTGTCAATCTGCCATCAAGCTTTGATACTTTGAACCGAGACTGTCTAGATAGATTTTATTGGATCCTTGGAAATCTTGGGCAATTACAGATTTGCAACTAGAGATGAGGGTTTGGGCCAGGCCAGAGCTAGGACAGAGCCAAGCCAAAGCCAGGCCAGAGCTAGGCTAGAGCTAGGCCAGAGACAGGCCAAAGTCAAGCCAAAGTCAGGCCAGCGCTAGGCTTAGCTAGGTCAGAGCTAGGCTAGAGTTAGGTCCAAGACAGGCCAAAGCCAGGCTAGAGCTAGGCCTATCTAGGTCAGAGCCAGACCAACCCCAGGCTAGAGCTAGGCCAGAGCTAGGCCAAAGCCAGCCCAAAGCCGACCAGTTGCCAAGTTTAGGCTTTGGTTCCAGGAACTTTTGCGGCCTACCAGCCAAGCAACACCAGACAAGACCTGACTTTTGATCTGGCCAGTTCTAGCCTTCCAATCTGGCCATCTTGATCAATTAGTAAGTGCTGTAAGTCTTAGATATCCAAAGTTAAGCCCTAAAATCCAAATCCTAAAATCCTAAAATCCAAACACGATTAAAATTGAAATACCAAACCGCTTAAACTAAAATTTTAGTTAAATTTCCAGACTTTAAGAAGATTCTAATGTTTTTTTACACCTTTTAGACTTTAATAAGATTTTAATGTTTGCCAATGTTTAATCTTAAGAGTTCTTAACATTTCTAATGTTCAATCTTAACAATTTTAGCTGAAATTTGGCTAAAATTTGATTAATTTTTGACTTTATGTAACAAAAACACTTTTTTAACTCAATTTTTATCCGGTTACGTCCAAAAAAAATTCTTTTCAAGTCTTTTTGACCTCCTTGACCACAAATTTCTAGAACTTAGAGCTTTTTTCGATTTGTTGACGTGCAAAATTCTCTCTTCAAATCTTCATAGACGATTTTACATTATTTTTATCCCGCACACACCAGCCTGTCAATAAATATATGGCGTGGGTGGGGGAAAAAAGAGAAAAAAGAGAAAGGCTCCACGTTTCATCGGGTTTTTTTCGGCTCAGCCCCTCCCCTTTTTTCACAATTTTCAAATGAAGCCCTGCCATTGAAATTATTGTGTTTTGTTGCCTGATACCACCCTTTCATTTCACCCATTTAAGCCTCAATGATCCGTTTAAGCCTCAATGATCCGTTTTGCTCTAGGTCTACCGTTTATATATGCCAGCCTGCCAGATCTTTATAGCTTGCCACAGTTTATGGTTCACTTTTCGTTTTGAAACTCGACCCTTATGTTTGTTTTATATTTTATAATATTTCCAGATGTGAACGTGTTGATCTCGCTGCTCGCAGCGCGCGTCGTCAACAAATGCGACGACAAGAACGAAAATGTGGATGAGTAGGTGGGAAAAGAATCGTATCAAAAGATTTTAGTAACTTAAAAATAACAGAACTTATGATAAAATTCAGAAATTTCTACGCTTTATAGAACTATTTAAACAATCGAATGAAATGATTCAATAAAACGTACGAGAAATGAATTGCAAGATAGTCAAGAGAAAGAAGTAAGATCATTCTGTTTTCTGTTTTTAGAGCCAAGCACCGGTCGGTCTTTCAAAATGTCAAGAAATCTGTGCGGAAATTGTCAAATTGCTAGTCTTCCCTTCTGTAATGCACTCAAAAATGCCAGCGGAGTTCGTAAAATTCTCTAAATGGTGAGTGGAAAATACAAGTGTTGAAGTATTGGTACCTTGATTTACAAATAATTTAACAAATGGACACGCCGGTTCTTTATGGGTTTGGGCTGAGCATATTGGGGCTGCTCGGCGCCGGGATTCGAACCAGCGATCTCTCGCTTATCGGTAAAACGCTCGCTTACAGGGTGAACGCTTTACCAATGAGCTAAACCGACATGCATCCCATTGTCGCCAAGATGCCTTATGCTTTACTTAACAATAGTGAGATTAACTCATAGTGAAATCAACAACTAGGTGTTGGATCTAGAACTTGTCATGACTCTGCTTTGATTGCAGTCTTTCTTCTGGAGCTTTGCAGCCCGGGAAACGCACCTAATCTGGCCCACTTTTCAACGTTTTTGTTTAATTATTTACCTACAAAGTTTCCAAAGTTTTTTCATAAAAAAATCAGCTCTGGGAATTCTAGGAAATAGTCTCTAGGAAAGCTCTAGAAGCACTAGGAGTTCTAGGAACTCTGGGAGATCTAGAAACTTTAGAAACTCTAGAAACACTAAGAATTTTAGGAACTCTAGGAGCTCTAGAAACTCTAGAAACACTAGGAACCCTAGGAACTCTAGGAACTCTTGGAGCTCTAGGAACTCTAAAAACTCTAGGAAACTCTAGGACACTCTAGGAACTCGAGGAACTTTAGGAAATGGTCTCTAGGAAAGCTCTAGAAACCCTAGGAATTCTAGGAACTCTAGGAACTCTAGAAGCTCTAGGAAAATCGAACTTTTATTTATTCCTAATCAAAAAGTTTCAGATTCTTCCAATACTGCCAAATGTCGAATCAACTTTTCGCATTTTTTCATTGTCCGATTCTCAACCAGCTGATCGCTGCCACGAGACTCCGTCAAATGCAAATTTCTCTTCCCTCCGCTGGATTTTCCCCTAGTTTTCCCTAATTTCTCTAGTGATTTTTTTTTCTTTCTTTTTTTTTGTTCAAAACTCTTGACTAAATCTCTTTCTTTCCGTTCAAAGCTCCATTTTCGAATTGTCTTTCACAGCCCCCGCATAGCCTTGGCTCTCTTGTGTCCATTTTTTTTGTGATCTTTGTGTCATTTAAATGATTGGTTGCATGGAAATTCTCTGAATCTCTTCTCAAAAGCCAATCGTTTTCTCTCGTTCTTTCAACCATTCACCTCGATCCAAAAATTGATCCGCGCATACCCACATCGTTCTTTCAAAAGAAAAAGCGTCACGTTCGCTTTCTTCTCTCACTTGAGTGTAACCAAAAACCGTGTAGACGATTTTGATTTTGTTTTTAGTTTTATATGGCTGGCTTTTTGGATGGAAATCTATTGAAAAATCTATCTTTTTTTTCTCAAAAAGCCAAGCTTACCTATATATATTTTAGCCATTCTCATAGGCGAGTGTTGGCCGTCGAGGATGTTCGCTGATCTCCACGGGGTGGCCAATCTCTCTCTTTTTGGCACTCTTTTGGTATTTGTTGGATGAGTTACCGTAATCTGCTGAGGATATGGAATACTAGATCAATTGCCGGTTAAGACAGAAAGACAGATAAGACAGTAATCTTGCCACCAAAGCAACCTTAGCCTTCCATTTATCTCCAGTAACAGCTCAGCCAGTCTCTAGAGCTGCTGCTGTGCTCTAGATCTAGATTTTCTTTGTTTAACGGAATAGCTTGAACTTATCATCACTCTATCTAGAGCTTAACAGGCTATTGAATAGTTCAATGCTTTAAGAACCATTCTTACAAATAGCGAAACTAACTAGCTAACTAGCTAACTAAGGAACTGTTTAAATTTAGCATCGAGTTAAGCTAGACCTAGTGCATCGGATTCTAATCTTGTTTGCAAGAAAAAGCAAAAACTTTGGACTAGCTTAACTCGATGCTAAGTTGAAACAGTTCCCTAGTAAGCTATTGTGAGAACGCAAAGGTTACAGGAGTTAAAATGTACTACAAAGTACTTAAAGTACAAAGTACTTGAAGGACAAAGTACTTAAAGGACAAAGTACTTGAAGAACAAAGTACTTGAAGGACAAAGTACTTGAAGAACAAAGTACTTAAAGGACAAGGTACTTAAGGTACAAAGTACTTGAAGAACAAGGTCCTTAAAGTACTCAGAATGTACTACAAAGTACTTCAAATGTACAAAGTCCTTAAAGTACAAGTACTTAAAATGTCTAACTATCAAGTTTTCCCATATCTGATCAGTCTACAGTATCCACTCATCCACCAAATCCCTCTCCACTGATGTCCCCGGCGGCCCCTCAGCCAATCTAAAGGCTTTTCCCCCTTTTCACCGCTTCTCAATCTTGTGTCTCAAACAAAACAAATTTTCTCTTATTTTAAGTCTTTCAAAGCAGCGCCCATGCGCATATGATCGCCAAAAAAACATCAAAAAGAGATATCTTTTTCGAAATATCTTTTTCGTTTGTTTGTTTACATTTTCTTCAACTAGGTCCCGGTTTTTGAACACTTTTGGACTCCTTTTGGACTCCTTTTGGACTTCTTTTAGACCTTTGTAACTTATTCTTTGGGCATTCGCCCATCCACTGTGTATATCTAGCGGCCGTTTCATCCCCCTTTTCCAAATATTCAGCCGATATCACATTTGCTTTTTGTTTAGCCGATTTTCTGTGCTCATTGCAGTCTTTCCATTGGGAATTTTGGAAACGCTTGGAAACGCCAACAATCTGGCGTAATTCTTGATTTTTTTTTCATTCCAAAGTTCCCCCAAAGCTTTTTTCTTCTCTTTTCTGTGATTTTTCGGAACTCGGTCCTTGCAAAATTTCTTAAAGAATTTCTGTTTTCGTTTTTTTTTCCTATATACGGCATTCGTCAATGATTCTGAACCACTGTGTGATCACCGCTGAAAAAAAAAGACAATTTCCTATAAAATAGAGATGTTTATTGTGTTTTTATCGTTTCACAAAAGTTTTTTTTTTGATTTGATTGATTAAATTAAATGGAAAATCTTTTGTGAGACTTTTTATGCTTTTTTTTTGGAAATCCATAGTCTTCCTCTACTTTAATGAACTCTCTCCTGAAAGAAAAACATGTATTTAGTTACGCGTGTCGTGTTTATTTCTCTATTTTTACGTTTACTTCAATTTTTATCTCATCTAATTTTTCTGGAGTGTAATGGATGGATTTTCAGTGTTTTGGAATTTTTTAGAAACTTTCAAGACCAATCATAACGCATTTTTGAGGGCAGACTTGGCCTAGTGGCGGACAACAGCTTGGCCTAGTGGCTAAGAGCTTTGGCTTTCAAGCTGGACCTCTCTGATTCTGGCTGGTTCGATCCCGAGAATTTTTGAAACTTTCGAGAACAACCATCAGACATTTTTGAGGGCGAACCATGGCAGCAGCTTGGCCTAGTGGCTAAGAGCCTCGACTCTCAAGCTAGAGCCCGATGGTTCGATCCCCAGCTCGGCCGAATCCTTTTACATTTTCTTCGAAAATCCACCCATCACAATCCAGAACTGTTTACCATGACATCACCAAACGTTGATCCTCTAATTTCCCCTTTTCCCCCCTTTCTTCTCAATTTAGTTCAATCACCTATTTCTCTCTATTCAAAATCCCGAAATCTTGCTAAATTATTCACCCGGATTCTCATCACAAACCACTCTAAGAAAAAGTTCTCATTCTCTCCATCTTTTCCTGTAAAACGTAGAGACATTTTCTGAGTTACTTCTCCATTTTTCTCTATTCCCGTGTGCCATCGTGTAGCCGTAAATTGTCCAGAATTTCGTTAAAAAACAATGTTTTTTTTTCTAGAAAAAATTCTCTCCTTTTTCTGTCGAAAATAAACTCTGTTGGAAAAAAGATTTTTGTTCAATGGATTAGAGAGAAAATGAATAACACAGTTTTCGAAAAATGCAACAAAACATGAAGAATTCAAATGGAATTGAAAGCAAAGATTGTACAGAGAAAGAAAAGTCTTAAAGATCAATATTTAAGCTCAACCAGAAGATCTTCAATAAAGGAGTAATGAAAGTGCAACTGAAATTGCTGCTAGAACCTTTTGAACTGCTTTCTAGAGCTTGTTGAACTTGAAACTGTCGAAGAACAATCATTTTAGAAAGATAAAACAAATAAAACATATACTTACTTGAGAAAAAGAGTTAGATGTTAACTTTTCAAAGTTGAAACCATAATTTCAACTTTTCAAAGTTGAAATTTGAATTAAATCTTGCTGAACCTTGATTAGATCTTGCTAAACCTTAATTAGATCTTGCTAAACCTTGATTAGATCTTGCTAAACCTTAATTAGATCTTGCTTAATTAGCTCTTAAGGTTTTTGTCGAATGAAGATTTACCAGATGGAATTAATGTTATTTTAAATCTGTCAATCAAATCTATCAAAGATTACTATTAATTCCTTTTAAACAGAACCATTAAACATGTTACAGAAAGTGTTAGAGCTATTAAACATGCTACAAATCGTTTTACCCAATCTCTACTGGTAAGGCTAGAGCTACTGGTAGGTTACTGGGCAGTGCAAGCTAGTGAAGACTCAAAAGCTACTGGAATTTAAAGTTGACAAAACCTGACAGCCAGATAAGACAAAGCCAACCAAGAAAATGCGAAATGAACTTTCTGAACTTCTAAATGTCTTTGTAGAAGTTCAAGTAGATGTTCAACTTTGCATTTTACGGGATTTTCTACATAATCTCAATCAATTCATTATTTA